GGTCCCCAGCCCGGGCGTGTGCGCACTGGGTCCTCGGGGACGGAAGCGGCTGCAGGGACCGCGAGGGGAGCAGGGGACGTCGGGGCGCGGCCAGGAACGAGCCGAGAACGAGGGGAAGGGCTGGATGCTGTCCAGGTGAGAGAGCGCGCCGCCACCGCCCGGCTGCGACCCTCGCCCGCCGGCGGGAGGGCGAGCTTGGCCCCGGGCAGAGTGACTTCATGCGGGGCTGCCGCTTCGCTGGGCCGTCCAGGTTCCCCTTCTGGGGGGGGGGGGACGGGGAACGAGAAGTGGGAGGGGAAGGCCCCCGCGGTTCCCAGTGCGGCGGTGGGTCACGCAGGGTTGGCAGCGGGCCGGGGGCGGGGCGGGGGGAAGGGGCAGCTGGGCGGAGGCGGGGTGCGAGGCCGCACCCAAGCCGCTCCTCCACCTCCGGCAGACCCCCAGAACCTCCGGGTCAGAGAACTACAGGATGTCCTTCTCCTCTTTATTATTAGTATTATTTCAAGACTGGCTTGAGCTCAGGGCCTAGCACTCATGCTGGTGCTCTACTATTTGAGCCACCTCTGAGCCTTTTGCAGTTAATTGGAGTTAAAAGTCCCGTAGACTTTTCTGCCCAGGCTAGCTTTGAACTTCAGTCCTCTGGTCTCAGCCTCCTGAATAGTTAGGATCATGCACGTGGGGAGACACTGGTGCCCGACTGTCCTTGTCCTCTCTGTGAGACCCTGGGCATGTTACTGACCTCTGAGTTCCAGTTTGCTCTTCTGTGATATTGGGACCTTTCCAGGTCTTTCTCTGAGGCTGTGATGGGCTGGAACCTGTGAGGGGGAGGTATGGGACCAGCAGGTGTTGCAGTCAAGGGGGGTGTGGCCATAGACTACCCATTGGGCCTTCTCGGTTGCTTTTCTCATCTGTTTCCACAATTGTAGGACAAGATGAGAACATGCTCTGAGTATCCATTATCTAACATGCTCAGGATCCTGAAATTTGGGATTTCAGAGCCTCCCTCCCTCCTTTCTTCCTTTTTGCTTTCAGCACTGGGGTTTGGACTCAGGGTTTGGACTCAAGCAAGCACTCTACTACTTGAACCACGTGCCCAGCCCTGTTTTGCTTTAGTAATCCTTCAGAGTCTCCAGTTTTTGCCTAAGCCAGCCTCATACAGAGATCCTCCTGCTCACGCCTCTCTCCTAGCTGAAAGGAAATAAAATATCATATGCAAATTTACTTGTTGAGATGAGGTCTCACTAACTTTTGGCTAGACCTAACCTTAATCCTTGATCCTCCTGATCTCTGCCTCTTTTGTGGCTGGGATTATAGTTGTGAATCAGGGTGCTCAGCCTGGTTTTTATTGCTGTTAGGTTTTGTTTGTTTTTGAGTTTTAGATATTGGCAAGTAGACAATGAAATACATTGGGGGTGGAATAAGTTCTAATATGAAAGGTACATATGTCTCATTTTAGGTATGCCTTTTATGCCTAGCCTGAAAGTAATTGATCAGTCTCTTCAGTGTGCCTATGTTTTGACTGCCACCTGTCACTTGAGATCAGGTGTGGAATTGTCTACTTGCTATGCTTAATCCATGCTGAGAACGCTTCAGGTTTTGGAGCGGCTCAGGTTCAGGCTGAGAGGCTCCTTTGCAGAGTTGTTTGGATGAGTCATTTGATCACGGAAGGAAAGTTCTTGGGCTGCTCATGAATCCTTGTTTACTGTTCTGGTCCAGCCTGATGACTCTCAAACTCTCATGGCACTTTAGCATCACCTGGAAAGCAGGTTAAAACACAGATTGCTCAGTCCTGACCCCTGAGCTTCTGATTTACAGGTCTTGTGCAAGATACTGAGAACTGGCATCCTCAGAGGGTGCCGCTGCTGCCTTGAGACCCCACTTTGAGAACCACCAATGTGACCTTGGCTAGCACAGAGAAAAGCCTGGACAGAGACCTTTATCTAATGGTTTCTTCATCACTCACCCATGAGGGAAGGGAGAAGGGAAATATGGACAAGATAGAAGGGAAGGAGTAATATCTGAAACACCCAAGAGGCCACCACCTGGAGTGACAAATGTCATCCAGGAGCTGGTGGCTCAAGCCTGTAATTCTAGCTACTCAAGAGGCTGAGATCTGAGGATCGCAGTTGGAAGCCAGCCCAGGCAAGAAAGTCCATGAGACTCTTACTCCAATTAACCATTCAAAAACTGGAAATGGAGCTGTGGCTCAAAGTGGTAGAGCGCTAGCCTTGAGCAAAAAAGCTCAGGGACAGCCCCAGGCCCTGAGTTCAAGCCCTACAAGAACAACAACAACAAGCCCCTCTTTTGTCATGTTTGCTTTAGACTTCTAAAAACTAGTTTGTAAGTATCGCAGATAAAATGAACCTCTTTCTCTGTTCCTTTTCTCTCCCTCCTTGGGGCCACCACTGTCATGAATTACAGTCCTTCCAGCCTTTGCCTTCCTAAATTTGCTCACATGTATTCTGTCTCTCTCTTTCTCTCCTTTTCTCTTCTTTCTTTTCTTCCTGGGGCTTGAACTCTGGGCCTGGGTGCTATCCCTTTGCATTTTTGTTTAAGGCTGTTGTTATGCCACTTGGACCGTATTTCCACTTCTAGCTTTGCTAGTTAATTGGTGATAGGAATTTCATGGACTTTCCAGCTGGGGACTGGCTTTGTACTGTGATCTTCAGATCTCAGCCTCCTGAATAGGTTGGATTACACTAGGGAGCCACCAGTGCCTGGTGTTTCTGAAGGAAAAATACGAAGAGGCTGGGTGGTGCTCATAGGAGGTGCTTTCACCTTCCCTTTGTGCAAGATGGAGTACTGAGGCCTGGGTCACCCAGAGCCTGGCACAGAGAAGAGCCATCTCTGCTTTGGGTCCCTAGCTCTATAGCTGCCATTGGAGACTGTGTGGCGTGCCATCCGGAGGAGACAGGGCTAGATGCTTATCCTGCCACACTTGGTAGGGATTGGCCAAGGGTGCTGTTCGGGGTGGGACATTTTACTCCCACTCCAGTTTATCTGACCCTGGGCCCAGTAGTCTTCACAGGCCTGGGCTTCACTGTGCATGTGTGCATGCATGTAAGAGTGTGTGTTTACATGTATGTAAATATGAAGCAAGGCCAACTGTTGCCGGAGCTTATCTGGCTGGGGGAAGCCAGGGAAATAAGATGGCCTTGGAAGGCATATGAAAGGAGGGGAGCCTAGGAATTGTAGATTTCTCTGTAATGTCTGAATTTTATAAAGAAAGCTGTACTAATGTTTGACTAGATGATGGCAGTTGATTTTTTTAAACATGACATACACCCTCCCTATAACCAAAATGTATATGCTTGTATGAAAAAGTCATGTTGAAATACATTATTTTTATACATTTAATGATGAAATGTGGGGCCAGGAAGGTGGCTCAGTGGTAGAACGCTTGCCTTGCATGCATGAGGCCCTGGGTTCGATTCCTCAGCACCACATAAGCAGAAAAAAAAAAGCCAGAAGTGGCGCTGTGGCTCAAGTGGTAGAG